TGGTAAAATATGCTTCAAAAATATTTATATGTAAAAATATAATATATAATTTATATTTATATATATAATAATTTAAATATAATATAAATAATCATATTAATCTAATATATTATCTATAAAATAATATATACCACCACCAAACACATCCACTCCATACAGCAAAAAAAAGAAGAAAAAAAAAAGAAATATGTGTGTGTGTGTATAATATATTTTTAAATATACTTCAAAATATACAAAAATGGCCAAAAATATATTTGCTAAAACATGATTGAAAATATATTTGTGTAAATATATTTTCTACCAATATATATTTTTTGGCATTTTTTAAATAAAATAAAAAATCTTTTTTAAATATAAATATATAAAAAAAAAACATAAAAAAATATATTTTGCACTCTATTTTTCATTTCAAGAAAATACATTCACGTCACATTTGAAGAAAAACTGTATAACATGTATGAACATAAAATTAAGCAAAGAACATACTTTACGATGTTCAACAAATTATATATAATGTAATGTAGGCTACTGTAAGATTGGAAATGAATTTCTTTGGCCCTGAAATACATTTTGAAATATATTTTAGTATGTGAGGGTTGAAACTAAATATATTTTCTATTTAAAAAAAAAAACAATTATAATAAAAAAGAGCTTAACTTTTTCAAACATATATTTGGCATATATTTAAAATATATTTGTGTCACTTTTTTTGTTTTTTTTGCCGTATCTGACTCAGGACATATCAGATAATTCTTCTGCAAATGAACGTAATGTCCTCTGTAATGGGAGTGCTTGAGGTTTATTTCTGATGATGGCCCGTCAGGTCCAGAAGGCAAACAGGACCTTAGACGGCTCACCTAGAGGTCAGGCAGAATGTCACAACATTACAGATGCCACACTGATGACAGGCCGTTCTTAATGGACGTGCACAGCCGTATCAGGTCACCGCCGAACTGAAGCGGGCTGAAGTGGCTTGATGTTCTTCTCATCGTGGTGGAGTATCAGCGTCCAGTGGCATGTTCACTCATTAGTTCAATCATGTACAGTGGCGTCTTCTGTTATGGTGTCATCACCCAGAGCTGAGAAGCACAATGCATTTCTCAATGGAGAATGACACGCGGCACATATAATAACCTGCCGAAGCAGAGCAGAAGCAGAAGCAGAATGAGAGCACAGGTGCGCTACAGATGGATGGTAAAGACACTTGGCAGGGGACCACCTGCTACTGAAACAGCTAACATTTGTTTTCCAGCTGTTTGGTTCCTTCAGACAAGGATAATTAAGTTGATCCAATGTGACAGATTTTCGACTTTGTTTCGTAGCAGGGGGTTGAATATTTTGATTCATGTTTTTTTTTAACCACTTTGGGAGAAATCTCTTGTATTTGTTCCAAATACTTTGATCTTTAGATTTGTTTGTATATCTTTTTTTTCCCTCTGGTTGCAATAATATGAATACAAATAAATAATATATATGTGCAATATAATACATGCATAATAGATTTTTTGTGAAAACGCAATGTGTAAATGTTGATCCATATATTTATAGATGGTGACAGATTTCTTTCTTTTTTTTGTAAATATTTTTCTCTGGTTGCATTGCTATGAATTATATATGTGCAATATAATACAAGCGAAGTGTATATTATAACACGTGTGTAAATTGTTGAGTCATATCTATGAAATTATTCATTTTAATGCTGTGTACTGTATATTGTTTATAAGTGTGCATCATAATTCTATCTATCTATCTATCTATCTATCTATCTATCTATCTATCTATCTATCTATCTATCTATCTATCTTTCATCTCTCTGTCTATTGAGGGTTGATTTGAGGGTTTATTTTGATCTGAAATATTTTTCCCCTCCGGTTGCAATGCTATAAATGATATATACGATATGAGCAATATAATACAAGCACAATGTATATAATAGCACTGTGCAAATGTAAATTAAGTAATATACCTATAATATCAGTTTTAATTCAGTGTACTGCATATGTTTTAATTGTGTATCATATTTAAATTGTGTATCATCTAAAGTGGCAGATTTTTGTTTTTTGACTCTGTAGAGAGTACACTGTACAGTTTGATCTCTGGGAACGTTTTTAACCTTTTGTGTCAAATACAAGCGTGGCTTAGTTTTAACCTTAAAAAATGTTGTCGTTCAGGTTGGTCTTGCGCAGCCGGCTCTTCATTAAACACTCTGCGAGCTGCATAAGCACACATGGTGCACATATGGCTATAACCATAATTAAGAAAACATCAGAAGCAGGACAAACAGAAGGTGCTGTAGGATCCCAGAAATGGCAACGAGGAAGATACAAACAACAGACTGACATCTCCCAGCATGAAAACTGAAATGACACTTCTCAGAGCTACCTTAACAGTGTTTACATTTACTGTTGCTCTCTCTCTCTCTCTCTGGCCTGGACAACGCTGCAAAGATTTTAATATTGGGATCATTACAAGCGGCTGTTATTAAAAGTAAATTCTGCATCCAGCTGAGCAAGAAACGAATGCTTATACGTGTGTGGGCAATTCTGATAAATGTAAACTCTCAGAAATAATGGCAGGAAACAATAGCCATATAATCAGCCCATGAATAATTGATGCTCTGTAATGGAAGCCTATAAACACCCATAGACTCATTCCCACAGAACTCAGATGACTAGATTACATCAAACTGCAGAGAAAGCACAAATCTGAAAGAATGACTGAAAACAAACAAAGAAACCGGTCGAATGAAAAATGAATTGAGAAAAGTAATGGACTGCCGTTATTATGAGCCAGTGATAAACTTTGTGTAAAGAGGAAACACTTCAAATTTGAGGCTGGTTTTGTGTTGCCATACAAACTGCGCTCTCTGCTGGCCAGATCTTCTCTGTTTCTGTCAGATAAGAGTCCAAAGAATTACAAACACCCAGCAAGGGCCTATTAAAGGTTTTGCAATTACTCTCCAGCCCGTCACAAGCACTCAGTCTCACAGAAGACAAAGCCATACTGAGTTTTTCAGGTCGTTAAAGTTAACCTAACCTAACAAACTGAGTAAGAAAAGCATGCATGGAATACTTCAGTGAGCCACTGACATGAAACACATCAGTGATCACAAACATAAAGAAATCGAATGATTCTTTTAAAGAATCTCTAAAAAAATAAATAAACTCCCATATTCTGCAGACTTACAAAACAGATAAAAAATGCATGCACCCTTAAAAAATTGAAGTGAATGTCCTGAACGCAGAGCCAATATTACAGTTTTTCTCAATTGCTTTGGCACATTTTTCGAAACGATACTGCAGACAATTGTACTTACTGTTTGCACACATGTGCCAAAGCATTTGCCATTTGCTCAAATCAATAAGAAATTCCAATCTGATGTGAACAAGAAACTAATTGTTCAGAGATCTGAACTTATTGTTTCGGGAAAAAAAAGTTTCATTCGAGAATTGAGCCAAAGCAATTGAGAAAAACTGTAATGAATAATTTAGCCGTGAGATGTTAACGGGACTTTGGGGTTTAAGGGATGTGTGAAATTGAAATCCCTCAGATTCAAAAGAGATGTCTGGATTGTTTCATAAAGCAGGAGATGATTTATGCGCTGAATAAGGCTGCAGTCACCACCAGATCTCCCATCATGTCTTGTCTTATCTGTCAATAGATCCACTGCTCATTAATCTGTCTGACTGAAGCATATGCCTATTCATGCAGGACGAATCTTATGACTAGGAACTTATAAACAAGACTAGAAGTTCCCGATGGGGTTGCTTTTATGAAAAGCTTAGATGACTAATGAAATCGTAAGGCATTGCTATAAACAGAATTAAATTGCACTTGTTCATCACTAGAGGACGCCAGTATAGCCTATTTGAAAATAAACTTGGACCAATTGCATTTTCTATATAACTAATTCAGCAATAGTTCTCTGTCTTGTTTATAGCACATTCCACAAGTATTGCACAAATTACAGGCACAAGTGCAATTTTTGTTTAATCCATTTAATAAACTATTAAACTAACATCCAAATAGCTAGCTGTCAACACATAAAATCTGCCTCTTCAATCTAAAATGTCGATTGTCAGCTTGTCTCACCTCAAAGGCCTACCAACAATAGATACAAATAAATAAAAAATAACATAAAGTCAGGTCATAATTGTCTAAATGCCATGATCTTGATGTTTTGAGTATCTGTTTAATTGATATTTATTCACTAGTAAAACACTTTCAACAGCCTGATGGGAAGACAAGTATATAATCTGTAAATTATTTTCCATTCAGATCATTCCATTCAACAAAAAAATAGGCTGTAAGTTTATCAGTAACTACAAACCATTTTGGCCCCAAACTGGCTTTTAGCTACAGCCTTGTTCCTCATTCTCAAACAGTTGTTGTTATAATATCATAAATAGTTGTCCATTTAATTTCAGTGCTTATTTAATCTTTACTTGAGCCTAAATTATTAGCCTAGCCTATTTCAAAAGCATTCAAAACTGTAGCTATTTTGCCAAATTTTACTAAAAGTATAAAAAAGCAGATTCTATAGAAAATGTTTCTTTTAGAAAATTTTCTACGTTTAAGCACCGTTCACTGACCATCTGCTGAAAAATAAATACATTTGTTTAAATATCTGTCGTCCCAAGCTGGCGACAAAAATATTCACTGATTAATTATCATTTAATTAATATAGTTTAACTTGTACAGGTGTACAGCGGCAATGAAAACATTGTTTTGACTTCAGAAGTCTTCCGTAGTGTTTTCAGAGCGACATTGAGCTGTAAGATGACACCTGACCGCAAACATCCAGTTTAGAGCCATTTTCTCTCTTCTTCCATTCCTACGTGACCACAAGGTATGTGAATGTTTTACTATATTTCAGTACAATGTTCAATTTTATATCTAACTTGAGTGCGTTTCGTGTAACCAGGTAGACGTGACGTCACGGGCGACTCACCTGATGATCTTGCTTTCAATGAAAACTTGCTGTTGGCCTCCACAGGACCATAAGAGCACAAACGGTTTTGAAATGTAAGCTCAATTATAGTTCCATAACCTAAACATAAACGTGTGTCATGTCTGTACTTACGAATGTCGCTTGGCATTCACACCTGTTTGCATATCACAATAGCGTAATGAACAGGTGTTGGCGGAAGAAGTACGTGGCTCGAGTTATTGCAAACAGGTTTACAGTGAGAAATCATTCTATAATTAGGTATCTAATATATGCACAAGTAGCTCTGAATACTTTATAAACCTGTGTCTCTCAGGTGTGCATGTTCCTGTATGATGGAGGATCTGGCTGTTTTGAACCTGTTGGAGTGTCCTTTGTGTATGGAGCCTTTGGAGGAGTCTGCCAAGGTCTTGTCGTGCCAGCACACGTTCTGCATGGCATGCCTTCAGCAGCAGGAGGCTTCACACCCTCATCAGATGTGCTGAGCTGCTGTTCCAGGATCAGTGCAGGAGCTCCCGACCAACCCGCTGCTACTGAGACTCCTCGAGAGCCCCCAGGAGCGGGGTCCGCTGGGCACGCCGAGGGACAGATCCGTCAGATATATCAGCTCTGCAGTCCAGGAGGAACTTTTAAGCAGTTACTTTCAAGATCTGCCCAAACGGGGTAAGAATACAACGTGTGCTTTTGTTGCATTAGAGCGTGAGTAATGATTTGAGACTTAAAAAGCAGCCTTTGTCTTTTTTTTTGTAGCTGCTGTTGGTGAGTTTTAAGGCTTGCCTGTGTGTCAAGATTAGGCTTGTTTGCTTTTAAAAGCTTTAATCTTTTAGGGGTTATGATGTGATTTATTGTTATTCTGATATAGGATATGAATATTTTCAAAACTTTTTCTAGTATGTGTCATATTACTCCGTGTCTTTTGTCGTTAGGGTTGCAAAGGGGGTGGAAAATTTCCGGAAATTTACTGGAATCCCTGGAATATTCCAAAAAAAGTTCCCAAAATTTCTGGAATGTTTCCGAAATTACTGGACATTTTCCAACTTTTTGCAACCCTAGTTGTCGTGCCACATCAAACAGAGCATGATGTTTGTTTTTCAACAGAGCGATTGTCCTGTGCAGCGTAAATGATGATGAAATGTGTATATCTGAATATATCAGGATGGTTTTTATGTTGTTTTATGTGGTAGGTCAGTTTGACAATCCGATCTGCTTAAGAGCCCTATTATCTCTGTGTGTGTTTAACAATGTCCACTGAAACACACTGCGGGCCGGTTTGGTTTAAGTAGGTCGGTGGACTTGAGTTTCATTTGGGAAAAAAGCCATTGCATTTGCACAGTAATGCTGTTTAGAAGTTTGGGATGCTTTTGAGCTCTGGGGAACTTTTCCCACTCAATTTCTCATTTCAAGCCTCTAATGTACACTCTAAAAAGAGCTGGGTTAAATACAACCCAGTGCTGGGTAAAATAGGGACAAACCCAGCAATTGGGTTGTTTTGACCCAGCGGTTGGGTTACTACCCAGAAGGTTGGGTTAAACATTTAACCCGACCGCTGGGTCAAAACAGCCCATTTGCTGGGTTTGGCCCTATTTTACCCAGCACTGGGTTGTATTTAACCCAGCATTTTTTAGAGAGTAGTATGCATGCATTTGAAGTACTGCAAGATAGTAAGAGCGCTGTTAGATGTTGTGTTATTTGCAGAAGTCAATTGTCTTTTAATTCAATTTTTTTTATTAATACATATTTTATATAATAAATATATTTTTGTATTAATGTTTCACATTTGCTAATATTGTTTTAGTCTTTTATAGACTAAGAAGGTGATTTTTACAAAATGACAATGTTAGAAATAAAAAACAAAAACAGAATAAATAAGATAATTATAGATTGAATCGCTCTCTTAAAAAAAGTCTAGATCATATTTAATCCCCATAAAATCAAAATGAAAAAAAATTTGCATAAAAAAAATAAAATCTATGTCTAAATATATTTAGCTATTAAATTTTGCTTTTTATTATTGCAAAGAGCATAAATTAAAAACAATACAACAGGAACACCATAATGCATTCTTCAACTGTACTTTCAGAGCTGCTTTACAATTTAAACCAGCGGTCTTAAACTTGTTTTTTTTCTGATAAGTTTTATACAGAATGCAATTTACTTTTAATTAACTTTTATTTTTATAGTCATATTATATCAGGAAAAAACAGTTTCATCGTCATTCAGTGTAAAAGATATATTAATGTAAAAATGAATCAACACACTTATTCTGACCTGTGCTTATTAAAATATATAAAAGAATAAGTGATCATACTAAATTCTAATATATTTTAAACTATTAAAAACTTGCAGACATCTGAGTAAAACCATAGTTTGAAGGATAGGTTTAGTAGGATTGGTATATATTTAAAATGATAATGAATTAGTTTTGGGGGGCTGATCTGTGATCCTTAAATAGAGTCTTTTAATGTCGTCTGATGATTCTTGTTCTAAATGTGCCTGACAAGATGTTTTGTTTTTTTTTGGTATCTAAACTATCATTACACTGAATTACATTATTGTGGGTCTCTGCTGTAAATCATGTTAAAATTGTATGATAGTCATTATTTTTGGCTCAGAAATAATTAAAATTAAACAGGGCACATTCTAATGTTTGGGGGGAAAACCCTTTTTATCTTTGACCCATTACCATGTAGTAAAGTCAGTATATTACGTAGTAGCTTAATTTTTGTAAGAGTTCAAGTGATAGGCCTATATCATCTTTTTTGTGCATTCCAGTAAGTAGAATTGAACGCATTTAACAGTCATGAAAATAATGGCACAATGTAAAAATATAATTGTCCTAGAATGGCTTCATTATTTCTATTCGAGTTATGATCCAGATATGTTCTTGACAGTCTCCGCTATGCTGTTTGTACTTGTTTCAGGTGCAAGCTCAAGCTTTATATGACTTCCAGGGTAACGCACCTGGCGAGCTCACGATGAAGTCAGCTCACATCATTTACCTGCGCTGGAGAGTGGAGGATAACTGGTGTTACGGCGAAGGCAAAGACAGCAGCGGTCTGGTTCCAGTGGATGTGGTGAGGGTCATCAGCGAGCAGCCGCAGCCGCTGGCCCTCTGCAGAGCACTTTACGACTTCAGTGCTAACAATCTGGATCCAGGGGACAGCAAGGAATGCTTAACCTTCTTCAAGGTTCATCTCTGTACTTTATAGACCTTCCCATTTCATTCGATCTCTTCTTTAATGAATGTACCGCCACAATTCAGTTGGGTTGGTACAGTGGCCACAAAAAGTATTCGGACACTTAAGCCATAAAAAAATGTGTGAATGTCATTGCATGAATAAAACATTAAAGCAAGTGGCATCTGCTAAAATGTTTCTAGACTGAGCTCTTCTAAGCTATTTTTGCAATGACCTTTGCAACTTCTTTGACGGCCAGAAGGTATCGAAGCCCATTTCTGCCACACAGAAAAAAAAAAAGAAAAAGAAAAAAGTAGTACGACTTCTCACAATTCTGACTATTTTTCTTGCGATTCAAATGACCTTTTAAAAAAAAAAAAATTTAATTCCAAAACAGAAATGGGCTTTCATTTATTTATATATACATATATATATATATATATATATATATATACATAAATACACATACACACACACACACACACACACACACAGTAAAGTATATATACAGTATATATATATGAACCTAGAAAAAAAGGTTTAGTAAATTTGGTGATTTTTTTTCTGTCATTACATTGTTTGGAGCATAAGAAAATAAGAAACAAATGGTATTTCTTTTTATTATTTATTTATTGAAAAAGGTTATTTTACATATGATATAATATTTGATAATTTATGCTTCTCAGTAGAGGACATCATGACTGAGTTATTAAGAAAAAGCTGAAGAATGAAGAAATGATAAGACACTATAGTGCAAAAACAATGTTTTTTTCATTAACCAATCTATTTTTAGTACTTTTATTGATATATATATATATGCTCACACACACACACACACACACACACACACACACACTATAAACTTGTATTATTCTTATATTCTTATATTTTTATGTGTGAGTGAAGTGTCTTTTTGAGGCTATTGTATGTTGAACATAAACATGTTTAGTATTGCTTGCCTCATTAGTGTGATTCATAATGAGGACCCTGGGAAGCAAATAAAGCTCTCTTCTTTGGGCTCTGTAATGTAGCAGTATTGTTATTCACACCGCAGGACTTGAATTATATAACAGTATTGACTCAGGCACAGCATCCATTAAAGGACATTTTCCTGGAGTGTTGTTTTTTTGCTGAGAGCAGATGGTCCAGATGGGTCTGGAGCCGAGTGAAGGGTGTAATGGGCCTGCAGCTTCCAGTGATTCCAGCTAAGTAAACGTCTTCAGGGACGTCCTGCACCCACAGCAGCCTAACACATGCCTATCTCTCTTTCCCCCCGCAGGGAGACAGCATTACTCTTATCAAACAAGTGAATGAAAATTGGGTTGAAGGTAAACTTGGAGACAAAGTTGGGATTTTTCCTTTGCAGCTCACTGAGGTAAGACAACAGGCTTTTATTCTCGATTTCAAAACATGTTGAATCTCCCAAAGAAATCATGTATGTTCAGATCATATTTAACCCCAATAATAATAAAATAATTAAACAAGAAATAATATTTTGCATAAATAGTTACATTTTCACTGCAATGCAAAAATACTGGACAATGTTTTTTTTTCCAATTACTATTTTAAAATGAGAATCCATTTTGCAACCATAATGCATACTTTAAATTGTACATTCAAACCTGTTTAACAATTTAAACCAGGGGTGTTTAATCTTTTTCTGTTATATTTCTTTGATAGCACTTTAAGCCTGGCCTATAGTAACTTGCACAAAATATATACAATATTACTGTATTTACATCTTGTTATTATAGCATCACTGATATACTATTTAGTTAATACTGAATATTACATTTGATTTTTTTTTATATTTTCATGCTAATTTTAGTTTTTTTTTTTGTAATTTTGTTGTATTTTTTGTTATTTTATTAGCTTTTGTCATTTTTTAAATATGTTTATACAGTTTTTAATCATTTTATTTCAGTTTTAGTTATTATCAAGTGAATTGAAAATGAATATGAGCAATGTTGCCTTGCAAACTAGCTGAGATAAATTAAGTTGTTTTATATTTTATTTCATTTAACATTTATTGTATTTCAAGTAATGAAAATGTTTTTATGGTATTAGTTAACTATAATAACCCTAATTTACATACTTTGTTGTGGTGCTTACATTACATTGAAAACCTCTAAAACAATCATTATTGATATGCATATATTTTAATGTTGGAGGGATAATGAGGCATGTTGCTAAACCTTAGCTTCTTTTTGTAATTTTTAAATATTTTTTATGTTATTTTTAATTTTAAACAACCATTAAGAAAAAAAAAACACTTACACACTTATTTAAAAAACAAACAAACATGCAAAAAACTAATTATTTATTTGTTCTCTAAATATCCCAGAAAAGTATAATCTTTGATCAAATGTGCATGTGGACTCCTGAACTTTTGCTTTTTAACTTGAGCTTTGGCTGAAGTTAAGTTAATATTGTATTTTTGCTTATTGCATATTTTCACATTTTCTTATATGAAAATAACAAATTCAGATCAAACGGTAATTGGCAGACCCCTACAGAGCCGTAATGAGAATAGCATTAGACCACTGAGAATGGAGGATAATTTGCTTTTGATTATAATATCACAGCAAAAATGTAATGATCTTAAAAATGGGCTTGTGGAAAATATAATTCTTTTGATTTTGGAATAAAATATAACCCAGATATATATATATATTTTTACTATTTTGCACTTTATAAGCCTTTGTGCCATATAGAATATACAATAATTACAACAATTATTATTATACAATAATTGAAAATCACTCATAAATTACAGTGTGACGTGAAATCTTCGTCATTACTCGTCAGTCTTTTCAGTGTCCCCTAATCGCTTCTCTGTTTAATGTCACGATTAAATTCAGAATAATAGGCCCTCATCTCTCAGCGCTGGCAGTGGTGGCAGCTACTTATCACTGTGTGATGACGGAGTTAGTGAGCATGCTATCTGTGACTGACATGTGTGCTTTTCCTCCACTGCTGCTCCAGTGAACTTCATGTTCCACCGGATAATTAAGGAATGCTTTTCATTATCCGTGCACTGGATTATATCTGAGGTTATTCAGATAAAACAGCCAGCCTCGCTCTCAACGCAGCTCGGGCATCTGAGCAGCCAGGCGTGAAGGCACAGTAATGCTTTCTTTTACTTCGGTGGCAGAGCAGCACATCATGGGAAAAGAGAGGGGGAGCGTCACTCCTCCTGCCAACATGTGCTGCACCAGTCCATCTTAACGCCACGCTCCTCAGATCAGCAACTCCAGCTGCCACTTACATAGGAAGTTTAGGGCGACTAACAGTACTTTTCTTTCTGACAAACTCAGACACAGCAGGTAGAGCGGCTTATGCAACCCAGCATGCCTTTATTGTGCATCTCTGCTTCTTTTTAAACCGCTTTGTGTTTCCCGCTGCAGCCAAATCCGGCGGCGTACGAGCTTCTGGAGAAACGCAAAAGGAGGGACTCTGTGGAATCGCACCCACGGAGCGGAGGCAGGGTCAACACCGATGCTTGGGTCCCCAGCCGGATCGCTGGAGCGTCTCACAAGTCGGCCTGGCCTCTAAATGTCAGTCTCCTGAACAGCCAGAACTATCCTCACATCAGCTCCAGCGCTCAACTCGCCACATTTAACAAGCCACGTCTGAGGAGCTCTCGCAGAAGCTTGCCTAAGGTGAGCATGCAGCCCCTGTGTAAGTTTGTGTGGGGATGATGATTGGCTGCTTATTTGCTGTGCAGACATGCGATTAGTTAGCTATGCATGCTACACTAAATGATAAGAATGAGTTTAACATCCTATTGGGATATAGGAGAGAGGTGGTGAGTCAGAGATGTGTTTGTTTTGTTGTCTGTGGTCCTTCTTGTATAGACAAGGAACGATTTTTATAATATCTTCAGTCTCAGATTGTGTCACACATTTGATTTGTTTTTGTGTACATAATATATGTGTGTGTGTGTGTGCTGTGTATATTTATTATGTATATATAAATACACACACATGCATGTATATATTTAAGAACAATTTTATGTTTATATATTAAATATATTTATATATAATATAAATTATTTGAATATAATGTAATTATTTTCAAAATATATACTGTATGTGTGTGTCTTTATATATACAGTACATAATAAATGTACACAGTGCACACACATATTATATAAACAAAAACTTTTATTCTGGATGCGATTAATTGCGATTAATCGTTGCCCAGAACTAGAAACCATGCATTGAAATCACCTAAAACGAGCAGATACTTGCATTTTCCTGACTTTCCCCTCAAAAACGGGTGCAAGTATTTCTGTCCTCTGTCGGTATGAGATGTTTTCCTGTGTGAGAGGAAGCCAGTGTGTTTGAGAGCTAAAAATGCCCCATTCTCTGTTGCTGCTTTACAAGCTCATGACTCATATAGGGTTACATAACACTGTCCTCTTATCTGGTTGAAGGCTGGGTGATTCTCTCTCTCCTCCTGCCATCAGCTGTGCCATTAATAGAAGGCGAGGAGAACATCACATCACGGAGAGACGAGTCACTCGTATTACGACCTGGCCGGGGCCAGTTAACACTGGATTTTGTGCATTATTTGTGTTTTCTTCAGATTGTGCAACACTCTGAAGTCACAGGAAACATGCCCACTGTTTCTGACTCAGCAGCATCTTTCTGATGCGAAAGAAAATATTTAAAGCAATAGTTCACCTAAAAATAAAAATTACATCATTGTTTACTCATCGCCGGTGCAAACCCATCATGAACATAATGGAACGCAAAAGAAGATATTGCAGAATCTGCTGGCTGCTCCATGCAATTAAAGTGAATTGATTCTGGTGCTGTAGAGGTGCGGGATATTGACAAAACACGATATCTCAATATTTATTTGACAGATTTTTTTTGATAACTATAATTAAACAATATTTTTCTGTGTTTTAATACTGGTACCTTGGCTGGTTTAGGCCTGTCATGGATAAATAAATATGACACTAAAACCGCTAGTAGGTCTTAAAGAGTGATTCGTTGAATCATTCATTCAAACAATTCGTCCAAAAGTGCTTCATTTAGAAACTAAGCAAGTGAATGATTTTTCAGACGGATCATTGACTCAAATGATTTGTTCAAAAACAGATTTATTTGGTAAGGAATCCCCACAGTGTTGCTATGAGATGCACAAATGATCCAGCTTTGATTGAAACTATTTTTTGGCGAAACCGAAAAAAAACCAGACAATATTGTGTCTGATATGTAACTCACTCAATCAATATTAACTTCTTGTTTGTTGAACTGTTGGATTAAATTAATACCACATTTGCGATCATGCTCAGGTGCTAATATTTAGGGAAATGACTGTTGCTTGTGTGATATTACTTGGCTATATAAATATAAAAAAATAAAAACCCATACAGGGGTATTTTTTGCTTTCATAAATTGAATTATAGGGTCATTTTAACTGCATTCTAAATAGTCTTCATCACGCAGCCAATGATTTTGGACTCTCAAGACTGGTTGTTGTTTGTTTTTTTGCAAAGCGAGTGACATATTCCATAATGTCAGCTCGCATATCATTCAAACAACAATTACGATATTATCACAGACGGTAAATGTCGCACACCCCTAGCTGTACCATAAAAATAGTCGCAGGCACAAAAGGTCCATTGTCTATTTTTCAGTCCCTTTTCAAACAAAGTGGCTTTATGTTGGTCAATGTGGAAGAGTCATGTGAACAGTTTGAACTCAAAATTTGTGTGGGGAAATCTTCAATGTGGACTGAATTTCGCCCACAAAAATTTGGCAAACAACGGTAAGTGTGACCTACAGTATATGCAGATTATTACAAATGTTCGGAGGTAATATAATATGCTGCGAGGAGCAGACTGAAACTTCAAGTCATTATTATTTGCCAAAACTCTTCCCTTACTTTGTAGACCTCTAATCGCATTTGTGCTGAATTAAATGCTGTGTCAGGTTTTACTGAATGATGGCGGTCTCTTGTTAGCGTTCATGTAATAGCTGATCAGTGTCCCACTTTGCAGGGCAGACTTTGAATCTGAAGTTGCAAATAAAAAGCCAAGTAAAACGGTGAAGTAAATCTGACCTGTGAAGTTAGGCCTCCCGTAGCTGGTCATAAGAGAGCAATATTCTTGTCAAATCAATCAATGAACTGTCTCATTTAGAACCAGATTACTTTGAATAGGAACAATTTACAGTTTAATTAAAAGGTAGAAACTGAATGGCTCCAAAATAGTTAGAACTGACAGACCCACTTTATATTATACACCTTGTAAGTGTCGTCTTATAAGTGTTCTACAATACAACATACCATGGGTGGTTCTAGGGTGAGCAATATCTGTGGCTTATATATATATATATATATATGGTGGATCGGGAATTCGAAGCGGGTTTGCAAATCTTTTGAATCAGATCGGAACTTCCGAGCATGAACCATTTGATTTAATTCAAACATCAAACCATTAAGACAGTACACTGAGACAGAAGATACAGTGGTAATATCTGTGCCTAAGAATATCCTAAAAATGACTTTTTTGACACAAGTATATAGTAGCTGTAGTAGTCTACACTGTAAAAAAAGTCTCTACTTTTTCTACTCAATTTCTACTCAAATTTTATGTTTATTTCAAAGTGCCATTTTTATTGCAATTATTAATTAAATTTACTAGCAATTTCTGAGTGAAAATAGTTTCAAAAGTAAATCCTACACCAGAATTTCAGTGCGATATGTGACCCTGGACCACAAAAACAAGTCATAAGGAAAAATCTATAATTTTGACCCATACAATGTATTGTTGGCTATTGCTACAAATATACCCCAGCGACTTGAGACTGGTTTTGTGCTCCAGGGGCACATATAATGTTGGGACCAAACTGACTTTCTTAAAATACATGCTCTATTGTACTTATCTAGTACTTTTAAGATACAATTGGATCGCAGCACTACTTATGTTCCCGCCTCGCTAAGATGAATCACCTATGCTGTATTTCTCATTTGTAAGTCGCATTGAATAAAATGTGTTAATGTATAACTCCAGGCCTTCTGTGTCTTCTGTGGCAGTGCTGATGTAACTAAGCTGTAATCACCTGCTCTCTTTGAGATAATTATGGGACATACTGTAGGTAAGAGGGGCGTGGAAATTGTCAAAGTAACAGAATTCACAGATCGGTCTCTTGTTTCATCATGCTTTTGTAATGAACTAATATTAGACTGGATCTCAGTTTAAGAGGAAGACTCATGACTCCGCTGCCCAGACGGACTCTTCCATGAGCCCATGGCCTTAGTATTAGTCGTTTGTTGTCAGTGCTTTGGAAAAGTCTCAGTCAAACAAGAGGCTGTTTTCTGTCTGAGTCAGCTTTGCAACTTAAAACTTAAACTTAAAACTTTTTACAATAACCTTAATATATCAATCCATTAGCAGTCAGCCAAGATTCAAATATTCAGTGAGCGAAAGTTCCTGATTGTCTTTTTATTTTGCTTTGTTTGGTTTTAAAGTCTTGTTTATAGTTTTTGCTTTCTTTTTTGCTGTTTTCTGTTGTTTTTATCCTTGTTTATTTAGTTTGTTGCTTTTTTTTGTTTTTAGTCTTGTATTTTTGTTTATTTTGTTTTTGTCTTATCTTGTTTTTTGTTTTGGTTTGCTTTTGTGTTGTTTTTAGTCTTGTCGTTTTTGTTAATTTTATTTTTGTTATTGTTTTGCTTTGTTTTTGTCTTGTCTTTAGTCTTTGTTTCAGCTTGTTTTAACTTTTGCTTTGATTTTGCATTTTGTTTTTAGTCTTGTCATTTTGTTTTTGTTTAGCTTTGTTTTTGTGCTATTTTGTTAAGTGTTTGTTGTTGCTCATCTTGTTTTTTGTTTTGTTGTTTTTATTCTTGTGTTTTGTTTATCTTGTTTTTGCATGTTTTTTGCTTTGTTTTTTGTGTTTTTAGTTAGTTTAGATTTTTATTTTGTTTTTGCTTTTCTTGTTTTTTTGTTTTGCTTTGGTTTTTGCCTTTTGATTATTTTTGTCTTGTTTTTTCATCTTGTCTTACTTTTGTCCTTTTGTTACATTTACATTTACATTTAGTAATTTTGCAGACGCTTTTATCCAAAGCGACTTACAATTGGGGAATACATAAAGCGATTCTTCTTAAAGAGGCAAACAGACACAGGAAGTGCTTGTAATACCAAGTTTCAGGCATTTGTTCAAATAAGTACAAGCTAGAAAGGGAAGGAATAAATAAAGACAAAGAAAATTTTGTTTTGTTAGTTTTGTTAATTGGTTATCGTGAATTTATTAAAAACTTTACTACTTACCATTTAACACATGCAAACTATATATTATCAGAATGCTACAGAAGCATGAATGCTTGGAGTTCAACAAATGTTGTGCTACACTTGTACTGAAGAGATTACATTGCTGTCAGTGTCTGCGCAAGATAGGAAAATTACCAGTTACTTTCTGACTATTACAGAGAAACAGAACAATGAACGGTGAAAGTCCGCCGACCATCCCCATGGCACTGATTAACCCTCCGGCGTCCCCCCTGCCGTCAGAGAGCAAGATGTCTGCCACCCAGCAGCTCTCCATCAGTGTGTAAGTGTTTCTGAGATCATATGTATCTTTGACGATTATCTAAAAGATTTTCTTGCATTAAAGCAAAAAAAAAAAGTTTAATTTTGTGTATCATAAATATGTTTCTGAAGAAACTTTGATTTTTTTTCTCACACATCAAAGTGTGGGTTTAAATGAGTGAGAGTATTTAAATTTTTGACCTATTTCTTTAACTTGATGATATGTTCAGGTGTGCTGCGCTGTATTCCTACACACCTCATCGCTCTGAAGAGCTGGAACTGAGGAAAGGTGAAATGGTGGGGGTTTATGGGAAATTCAAAGAGGGCTGGCTGCGTGGACTGTCTCTCAGAACAGGCAAAGTAGGGATCCTGCCAGCCAACTATGTTACACCTGTGCTAAGGTGAGCAGATGAGCAGTTCATAGTACAGTTGGGTGACATATGTGACCCTGGACCACAAAACCAGTCATAAGGGAGATTTATACATCCTCTGAAAGCTGAATAAATAACCTTTCCATTGGTGTATGGTTTGTTAGGATAGGACAATATTTGGCCAAGATACAACTATTTGAAAATCTGGAATCTGAAGGTGCAAAATAATCTAAATATTGAGAAAATCATCTTTAAAGCTGTCCAAATGAAGTTCTTAGCAATGCATATTACTAATCAAAAATTAAGTTTTGATATATTTACGGTAGGAAATTTACAAAATATCTTCATGGAAGATGATCTTTACTTAATATCCTAATGATTTTTGGCATAAAAGAAAAATGGATAATTTTGACCCATACAATGTTTTTTTTGGCTATTGCTACAAATATAGCGACTTAAGACTGCTTTTGTCCTCCAGGGTCACATATACTAACAACAACAACTCATGCAAACATACCACTACTTTCCTTCTCCTTTTTGTCTCCTTACTAGGGGTGTGCGATATTGGCAAAAAAATTATATCTTCATATTTATTGGGATTTTTTCGATAACCATATTTAAACAATATATTACTTAGTGTGTTTTTGCACTGGTACTTTGGCTGGTTTAGGCCTGTTACGGATAAATAAATATGACACTAAAACTGCCACTTGGTGGCAGCAAGTCCCTGTCTTAATGCGTGATTTATTGAATCATTCATTCAAACGATTCGTTCAAAACGGCTGATTCATTTAGTGCTGCTCATGCGCTGATATTTAGGAAAACAGCTGTTGTCTGTGTGATATTACCTGTGTGATATAAATATAAAAACAAAAACACAAACAGGGATATTTTTTGTTTCATAACTTGGATTTTAGGGTCATTCTAACTGCATTCTAATAGGCTTCATCACACAGTCAATGCTTTTGGACTCTCAAGACTTGAGTTTTACAAGCACAAACTTATTATCTTGATAATCAAGGTTACAGTAATATACTGACTTTCCCACAGAACATCTGCAAGTTTTCTTGAACAAACCAAACCTGCCGTTCCTAATACAAGCACAGTATCAACACAACGCCACACCCCACACAAGCCGCAGGCTGTTGTCCTGGCCCTAGACCGAGTAAACGCCGACACCCCTTCAGCTACAATGGATGTAATGTCATCTGCCAGTCCCGGGCGAGCGCCGCAGCTGGGTGGAAAGCAGGGATGGAGCACAGTGAGACGCGCCCTCCACGCCACACACAGGGGTGAGAGCCAGCGAGCCCCGACACGCCGGGACATATTAACTTTTAGCTGTTGCACTTGCAACTGTTCTATTTGGAAAAACTAGTCAAAATTGTGTTTTATTTATACATTTTGTCATTTTAAGCCAATATACATTTGATATGTTTTAAAAAATATATCTATTCTGCTCACCAACACTTTTCAAACATAAAGGTTCTTTATTCGCATCAGTGGTTCTATGAAGAACCTTGAACATCCGTGGAAGCTTCCAAATGCAGAAAAGGTTCTTTACAGTCGAAAAAGGTTCTTTAGATATTTAAAACATTCTTCAAAATGGTTCTTTTAGGAACTGTTCACTGAAAGGTTCTTTGGGGAACCAAAAATGGTTCTTGGACAGACCTGTCTATGGCAGGGCTGTCCAAACTCGGTCCTGGAGGGCCGGTGTCCTGCAGAGTTTAGCTCCAACTTGCCTCAACACACCTGAACCAGCTAATCAAGCTCTTACTAGGCATAGAAACTTCCAGTCAGGTGTGTTGAGGCAAGTTGGAGCTAAACTCTGCAGGACACCGGCCCTCCAGGACCGAGTTTGGACAGCCCTGGTCTATGGCATCACTGCAAAAACACCCTTTTAGAACCTTTATTTTTAAGAGTGAAGGCTGCATTTACTTCATAAAAAATGCTATAATATTGTAAAATATTTTTACAATTTAGAAAAACTGTTTTCTATTTGAATATAGTTTCAAATGAAATTTATTCCAGTGATGCAAAACTGCATTTTCACCATTCCAGTCTTCAGTGTCACATGATCCTTCATAAATCATTCTAATAAGCATATTAGAATGATTTCTGAAGGATCATGTGACACTGAAGACTGGAGTAATCGTGCTGAAAATTCAGCTTTACATCACAGGAATAGACATTTACATTTTAAACTTTAGAAAATGGTTAGTTTAATAATAGACTTTTCAATATTACTGTTTTACTGTATTTTTAATTATTTCAAATAAATGCAGCCTTGGTGAGCACTTCTTTTAAAAAACATTAACAAAAACTTATTCCAAACGTAGTGGATCTGTATGGGCACATTTTAGATCAGTATCAAAACAATTAATGAATACATACATTTTCAGTTAATTTTGATTGAACAATTATACATGGTAATTTTCTCTCTTCATATATTTTTAGATTTTTCATTGACTTCTGCAGCAGGTGTGTTATTCAGTCTGATACATTTCTGCTCTGCCTTTTGTTTAGGCTTGCCTCATCACGGAAACTACAATTCAAATTCCATCGTAAGCCTTCAGCCTGGGCAGATCTATACTTTTGGTCGCTCACCTGTGCTTCCCAAAAAGAGAAACGGTTTGTTCTCGAACCCCATCAAGGCGCAGCATTGGGCATATGAAACCACAGCTCCCTCTGCTGCTGGATATCAAACGGTCAGCAGGGACCCGGTCCAGAAAGAGGCCACCACAGCGCCTCAGTCCATTCTGGTCAAACCAGACACTCATAAGCACAATACAGAGAAGGTAAAACAGTTCCTGCAAACAATTTAGGACTAGGAGTTGTGATGTTCTAGGATTTAATGAGATTTTTCATCCTTAAATACTCTAAAATGTTCAAACGAATTACATCAGCACTTTGTTTTGTTCTTTTAGCCAGTAAAGTCAGTGCGGTTCCTGACTCACGATGCTCCTCAGACATCAAAAACAGCATCCACCTCACCTGCAGGACAAATCTCTAGTTCCCAGCCTGGTCTTTCGGCTCTAGACCACTGGAACCCTTCAGCCATCTTGGGTCGGGATGGAAGTACATTAGTTTTTAAAGACACAAAAACACCCGCACCCAGAAAGAGCACAGGCCCTGCTTCTATGGACTGCCTCTCGCTAAATATGAAGCCAGTACTGATCAACAACCAGCCCGGCTCTAACAGGTGGGTTTTCTTGAGTGTGTCTTGAAAAGGAGTCATTGCGTTATCTGATCTAATGGCTCTTGTGTTGCAAACGAGCTAGCAATGAGTGGCAGATTTTTTTCTTACATCGGGAAAATTGTCAGGAAGCCGATACAGTATTTTTACGAGATTTATTGAGATAATTCACCGAAACTGTTTTAACAGAAAAACATTTCCTGTCAGAACGAGAAGAAGCATTGAGATATCCTGTATAGCACATCCTGGCATTTTGCGTTTGGTGCATTCTGACCGGCTAATGTTGTATTCTTCAGATTTAGGGTAATGAAAGGTTACAACGCTAAAGCAGAGCTCACGCTGACGGAAGGAGAAATAGTCGTCGTTCAGAGGCCTCGAGCGGACGGAAGGATTCTCGTGACCCAGGAGATCAGTGGAAAAACGGGCCTTTTCCACAGCAGCGTCCTGGAAATCCTAGACAAAGTGCTTTGAGTGCCACAGTTTCTTCTGCACACGTTCTTCGTCCAGCGCTGTGTTTATAGTCACACCGTTTTAGCCTGTTGTGTCACAAACCTAAATTAAAAGCAATATCCTGTGTACTTAGACAAATCACGTATTGTTTCATGCACACCCACTTGGCACAAAAACTAGGTTTTTCTTCATCATTAGTCAGTTCTGACAGATAAGCGTGCCTTTTTGTATGTTGATTCACTGTTTGCACTTTTAGATGTGGTGAGAGGTGGGGAAGTTTGTTCATTCTAGGAAACGAATGAGTATCTTTGACTGTTGGATAAAGGGAGGCCTAATGATGACTTGCTCAAGGTTGTCTGTTTCACGCACAAAATCCTGTCGTCTCAATACAGTAATGGTGGATTAGTTTTGTTGTATAAAACGTCATAGCGGCTATATCCTGACGATGCAATTCTTCAGCGTTCCTGTTCTCAGTCCCTTTTTTGGGGGGAAAATCGGGAAACTAATAATGATAATAAACATAAAGAGTTCAGAATTTTCTACCGATTGGGCTTTTTTTGTGTGCTTTGCATTGAATTGGATTTAGGACTGATGTTATTGTTTGCATTAAAAACATTTTATCCTTTTGCACATAAACTGAGTAATATACAACAGCAGCCACTTCACATTAATTGTGTGTCATATCAGAGAATACAGACTGAAGCAGGATAAAAAAAATACAAATGATTCAGTAACAATGGGATTAACACTGGTAATAATAAACATTTCAGATTGAGAAAAGGATGATAAGAATATTAAATTATTTTTGAGGCAAAATATATTGGATATTAACTGATTACATGTCATCTGGATTATGTAATCAGATTAAAAAAATTAAGTATTTATAATTAGATTAAATTACATTTTAAAATACTCGTAATCAAACTGCAGTTACTTTTTTATTGATTAAATTTTTTATTCACACAAGTCTTTGTCTTTGGAAGTTATTTCTTATTTACATGCAGGTTAAAAAAAAACCTGTGTTTTATTTTGATTGTCATTTTAAAATTATATTCATTTGACGTTTTTATGATTTAGCTCTTAATTAAACTCACAAACCCCTGCATTTCGTTCATGAACCCCGAAACCTTGACGCAACTTCGACGAATGGAATATATTTTCATGATCTTTGTATTTTTTTTATTTTAATATGGCACAAGATTATACTATTTAAATCAATGTGATAAACGTGTTAGGTCAAAAGTAGTCAGATTAATTTAGGTTACCTAAAAATGGGTGTAAAGTTACAGTTTTTTACGTTACAACTACAATTTTTATCATGTCATTTGGAATCAGTAACTACAATTTGTAAGTAATCTACCCAGCACTGTCTGGCTATTAAACATTGATATCCATAAATATGTAAACACCCATCACCGCGCATGCGCAGTAAACGCTAACTTGGGATGGGCGCTTGAGCTGGAAAAATACATCATCCACCGAATGAGCTCATCGATGGTCATTCCAGACGAAAACTCCCTTATTTAGATTTTAATGAAGAGCCATATATCCGATTCTAAAAATGCCGGTAAGATTATAATCTCTTATCTTCATCTATCGCAGTGTAATGTGTGTGTTGTTGTGCCCCACCTTCCCGTCACTCCTTTGCTTTGCAACCGGAATCTCATGCAGATTATGATCTCTCGACGAGTCCGATTTATTGAAATTAATGAGAAATTATGTTAAAACTGCTTACAACAGATAAATAACCACGTTCTGCTTTTTTGTTGTTTGTTAATTTAGCTGTTAGCTTGGCACAGGCTGAGCGGTCATATCCGCTGCTTAGCAACAGCGTTGAGTTACATCAACCCCACCAATCAAATACATTCAACATCCAGTGACCTTTACAGTAAAGGTTACACATTAAAGGGGTCATATGATGCGATTACAATGTTTCCTTTCTCTTTGGAGTGTTACAAGCGCATAAACACATTTCATTACACCAAATACACAAAATAATGTTCTTTTTAGCAGCATCATATGACCCCTTTAAGAAAACCTTAGTTCACGCATAAAAAAGCCATAATTTGGTGTTTGTTTATCTATGAGTGTTCTGTGACTTCTGGAACATAAACTCGCTATAAAACACTTAACAGTTTCACCAGTGTATTTAATTTGTCTGTTAACGATGTCCAGCAGTGGACATACATGCACAGCAGAAGATATCTGTCTTTTGTTTTTCTATTCGGTCATGCACATTTTTTATTTACGCCACATTTTAAGTCATCCTTCATTATGAGTTGGAAATATAATTTTAAACATTTCTGGAATATCTCAAATAATATTTAGACATTTGTTGTTTACATAATTTAACAAAGCTTAATTGGAATTTGCAATAATCATACAGCATTAAATATTCTGCTCTTTTGCAAACTCTTAACCAGTGTTGGGAATGTTGCTTTGGAAATGTAATAGGTTACAGATTGCAAGTTACCCTATCTGAAATGTAATAAGTAGTGTAACTATTTCAATTACTTTATTAAAGTAATGTAAGTAATTACATTTGATTACTTTTTTAAATTTTAAATTTCAACTGTTAATCATTTTCAAAAATGTAAACCAGGCAGGGTTAACCTTACAGTAGTATTCAACACTGATTATTATTACGGTCACTTTCGAAATCCTTCATCACTTGAATGAAGATTATAATAGTTTAATTTTAAAACACAGCCACCACAAAATCAGACTTACTTTGAGATCATTCTGAGGTTAAATACAGATTTAAAACATTACAAGAAATATGATACTGTTTTTGAAATCAAATCTTTGCATAGTTATGACAGGAAACACTGGCATCCTACAATGGCTTGAAAAAAAAAACAGTTAATCTTAAAAATAAAGCATATACATAAACCCAAATAGGACAGTTATCGAATAAGCATGTGTCCTATTCTGTATCCTAAACTCCTGAAACATTGCCGTCTCATATTTTAGAGCAGTCAATGCAATTTATGAAAGAAATCAATTAAATTTCACCGTGGACGAAGCGGAGTCCAGCCCGGGGTCGTCACATGTGGTTGCCGCTCCTTTGTCGAATCCGCCGGCTGCGCCGTTCTCAAGCCCACTGGCCTCTGCTCACTCAAGGCCGCGGTGTGTCATCACTTGAATGAAGATTATAATAGTTTAATTTTAAAACACAGCCACCACAAAATCAGACTTACTTTGAGATCATTCTGAGGTTAAATACAGATTTAAAACATTACAAGAAATATGATACTGTTTTTGAAATCAAATCTTTGCATAGTTATGACAGGAAACACTGGCATCCTACAATGGCTTGAAAAAAAAAACAGTTAATCTTAAAAATAAAGCATATACATAAACCCAAATAGGACAGTTATCGAATAAGCATGTGTCCTATTCTGTATCCTAAACTCCTGAAACATTGCCGTCTCATATTTTAGAGCAGTCAATGCAATTTATGAAAGAAATCAATTAAATTTGTATGTGGATGTGTGTGAAAAATTCAGATGTAACCTCCTTTGTAATCGTTAACATTTTCATAAGTAACTAATTTAATTACACATTTTTTCGCAGTAATGGTAACTGATTACAATTACATTTATTTTGTAATTAAATTACGTAATTTAGTTACATGTAACTAGTTACTTCTCAACACTGCCCTTTACATGACATTGTGTTTGTAAACATATTTAAGGACAATAGATAGCAGTCATAATTTGTGTAAAAAAAAAAAAAATGCTTATTTTACTCATAGTTTAGAGTTTACAAAATCAATTTTCAATACAAAATTTTTTTTTTTTATGATGCATTTTCATATTTTCATGATGGATTTTCACTTTTTTAATGGCCGGCTTCCATTGTGCTGACAAACAGATGGTCCTGCATTAACTTATTTAAATTCATAGTTTAGATTTTAAACAGATGGTTGTGCACTAACATTTTTTAAACTGGTTTCTATTTGTCCAGAGTAATAAGCTGGATAAACCAGAGAAGGTGGAGGCGAGTGATAACGTGAAGGTGGTGGTGAGATGTCGACCCCTCAACGAGAAGGAGAAGATGATGGGACACAAGCAGTCAGTCGCTGTGGACGAGATCCGGGGAACGATTACTGTGAACAAACTTGATATGACCAGTGAGCCGCCAAAGACGTTCACCTTCGACACAGTGTTCAGTCCAGACAGCAAACAGTTGGATGTGTACAATTTAACCGCTCGACCGATTATTGACTCCGTATTAGAGGGTTACAATGGTAAGTCAAAGACAATAGAAATATTAATTGCATATATTTTCACCTTTTATCTATTTGTTTGTTTTGCAAGTTTGAAATGTTGAAGATTAACGTTTTATTTTATTTTTTTCAGGAACCATATTTGCGTACGGCCAGACAGGCACGGGGAAGACGTTCACTATGGAGGGTGTCAGAGCAGTGCCTGAACTCAGAGGAATCATCCCAAATTCATTCGCTCATGTATTTGGTCATATTGCAAAAGCAGAAGGAGACACCAGGTGAGAATGGGGATTGTTTTTGAGTGCTGTGCTGTTCATAGGTCTTTGTGTTCATGCATAGTTAATCATGAAGATACATATAATTTGTCATGCTTTTTCATTATACGTCTTTTCAACGTTATCAGAGACAAGCAGAGTGTTAAGATAAACTCTGGCGACATGTGTTATCTGACAGGTTTCTGGTAAGAGTTTCTTATTTGGAAATATACAATGAGGAGGTGAGAGACCTGTTGGGAAAGGACCAGATGCAGAGGCTGGAGGTGAGAAACCAGCATATTTCAACATATTCCCCATCACTGCACTTATTAGGTGTGTCGTTAAGCGGACACTCCAGTATCGGTCATGAAGCGTTTGACTAATGCATGCGTGCGTCCGCATGGTATCTGCACCCACAGAATTCACCCACCGTTTTCTGTAGAATTTAAACACATCAAACAGAATTTGATCATTCAAAGAATTCTTTGTGGGATTGTTTATGAAATATTTTTCTTTACTTGATATCATTTGATAATGCTTTCAGCTACAAATTGGAATGTCACATTTCACAGATCACATTTGAACATTTAGCTTATTCAATACAGTCTAGTTCGGATTTTAGTGCAGATTTTTGTTTTGATGAACACAGACTTATATAGCTAAACAACAACATACACTTCCATTCAAAAGTTTGGAGTCAGTAAGATTGTCTTTCTTTTCTAATGTTTTTTTTAAAGATGATGTTTACCAAGGCTGCTTTTATATTAATAAAAATAGTAATATTGTGAAATATTATTCCAATTTAAAAAGAAAACGGCTTTCTATTTTTATGTTTTGAAATGTATTTTATTTCTGTGATCATTGATAGGATGATGGCGAATGATTTGCAGATCCTGAGCACCAATGAGTAATCATTACATAAGAGTAATCCCTTATTTACTTTTTCAAGGGAAAAGTAATTCAATTACAGTAACTAATTACTTAGTAATTAGTTACACCCAACATAAGTGATATCACACGAGCAGCGAGAGCAATATCACACGAGTGCTGTTTATGTCCGAATAGCACGAGTGCAAATGTGATTTTACACAACGGTTCAGTAAATGAATAGACATTAGTGTCACAGCCAACATATTATTGTACACAAACTTTATGTGCAATATGTGATCATCATGGGAAATTCGTTACTTCTGAAATATGGTTTTTCGCACTTGCAAACAACATACATTGTTGTAAACAAAATAAACAACTGCTTAAATGTTAGTTAGAGTCCAAAAGTTGTATGTCAGTAAACTGATTCTGGATGCAAAAATACCACAATGTATCCTACAACGCAATGGGCTTGACTTGATTTTCCACATCCATTGACTTAGTATTTATTCAAACCACCAAATGCTAACAAACGTACAAAAAAATTAAACTAAACATGCAAACAGTCTGTATTTGCAAGATAATAATTGGATTGGCATTCCGAATATATGTATACGCATTGGGTAAGTTACTCTAAAAATGAATTAATTACTAGCTACTAATTATATCTTCAACAGTGTAATTACATTACTGCACTAATTTCTCTCTCTAAAAAGTATTGCATTTTTTATTGCTAATTACGTTCCAAATCCCATATCGACCTTGAGTTTAACAGTACAAGGACAGACATGAAAATGCCCTTTTAATTATTTCAAACAAATAATATAAAATTGCATAAATTATTCTTGAACTGACCAAAGTATTTAAAGGGAGAAGTTTACATTAAAAACATTCAATGTTAAATGTTGATGTTAAATCCACTATTGTTTTATATAGACTTGTTCTATAGTCTATACAGTATTTACTGCAATTACATCAGAAGTAAATTACTAAGAGTAAAGAGTAATCCCTTATTTACTTTTTCAAGGGAAAAGTAATTCAATTACAGTAACTAATTACTTAGTTACACGTTACACCCAACATAAGTGATATCACACGAGCAGCGAGAGCAATATCACACGAGTGCTGTTTATGTCCGAATAGCA